AGACACTGAATTCTCCACCATCATCCAATCCACGTGTATCACCATATGAACATAAAACTATCCCCGCCTAAAAGAACTATTGCCACATACTTTCAACAGCGGTCTTATTTTTCCTGACAATTTATCAGATGTGAAACAAGTAGATTCTGCCAGACAAAGTCATAGTCATAATGATGATAAACTTTTGTGAACTTAATACAAAATCCTAGTAATTACGTAAGAAGTATAGTGAAAGCGAATTTTGTTTTAGACGATTGTGAACACCTGCTTCCTACACATTTACAGAACAGCAAGCCACAAAGTATTGTTGAAGAATCGAAACAGAATGAAACTAACACTCATTTCAATGCTTTAAGATCATTCCCGTTCTTCTCATCTCTGTCGACATCTTCAGTCAACAGTGATGTGCCGGCATTGATAACCCGGTCTAATCAACTAAGTGAATCATGTCCTGGATATACACATGAATTACCAGTGATCAGTTACATCTATAAGACTCTTGCCAGTTTATTATCAAATCCAACACCTTCGGGTACCAGTAATGATGAATGGACCACAGTTTTGAACGAAATCAATAGTATTTCAGATATTCAAAACCGTGTAAAGCAGGATTCATATTTTCAAAGTCATTTATTTAAAATGTATGAACAAAGCAGAAACAGTATACTTACTGCAGACCGATTATTATTAAGTGACAATAAAGAGTGCTATACGTCAGATGCAGTTCTATCTAAATTATTCAGTAATGATCAAAAGTCTATTTGTAAGAGTCAGCTTAACGATGTACAACATTATGATAATTGTAAAACTTTACGAGACAATTACCAGGATAAATCCAATCAATTACCTACAGCATCCTTGTCGTCACTTGGGTTTCCTTTGATCAATCCATTTGTGGATTATGAATTATCAGGAAGAAATATGAAGAAAAAAACTTGTAGTTATCCTAAAAAGTGTTCCTCTTTTCTTGGCAATATACTTTCAGATGAACATATATCACATAACCCTGTCAGTTCATTGAGTAATTTGTTGCACAAAGAAACCAGTTTACATTTATTCAATTCATCATTAATTGGTGATAAACAGGAGAGAATTGTCAACACAGAAAATATGGAACATTGGAATCTCGATAAAGAAAAAGATCCAAACAGCTGTGTACGCTTAGTTAGTGGACAAATAAAAAGCAGAAATGAATTAACAGTGTCCGATTTTATAACTAGTGCTATCAAATATGATAATGTGAGTAAATATGTACGTGATAATGGCACATTAATTGAAACCTTAGCAAATACAAATAATTTGGAAATGTGTTGGGTAAAATTAGTACAAATAAAAGAAAATTTTGAAGGTAGTATTGTCAATTTGTCAAGTGAATTAGTATTTATTCATTCATCTAAACGTCATCATTTATTAGTTGGCATCAATGAAAAAAGTGGCGGTAAACACGCTTCCCGGATGTTATGGCCTCATTTCAATGCCAAAAGTTTTAATGTAAGTTTGATAAATACATAAGAGTTATATCCAATTTTTCATGCTACATACTGATCATTTTATTTGAAATGAACAAAACGTTTTTGTTCATTTGAAAATAACTTTGCATTTGGAAAACATATTTTTCATGACAATACACAAATCGTTAGGATTTATAGTATGTGCTGTTGTTTGCTAGTCAACTGGTTTTGGTAATCTCATGCACAGAAATAGACTATCAATTGTTTATTATAAATCAGTGATTGGTAAAGTAAATAAAAGGGTAATGAAAACAAAATCTTTCTCTTAATTTATCAATGATTCTGCCTGAGACAGCTATGGCTTCACAGAATGATATTATTGATACCAGGTGAGAATTAGAAGTGAAGCAAAACTTGGGTTACGGGGAAATTCAAACCATCGGTATCCGGATACCGATAAGCTACGAAGCTCAAATGCTTAGTCAATCTTAGCTTAACTTATATCATCAAAAGTTATATGTTATGCGTAATTATCCGTTTATCTTAACCAAATTAACCTCCAAGTTAGATCTTAATATTTTGATTTGTTTTGGCGTTAACGTGAATAAATGTTTTTTTTCTAGAGGTAACAGTCTAAGAAACCACGTTTCTACTTTGAGTAGTTTAGCTTTTACTGGCCTTAAATGTCGACATCTTAAAAAGCATTTGGTCGGCAATTAAGTTACTGCGGGTAAAAACGCCTTATCTGACTAAACTTACTTGCAAAAAGGAGCAACAAATTTACCATTTTTTTGTCGAGTCACTAATCATTTCACTTCTATGTGATAGGAGAATGTAAAAGTATTGAAACTGTTGTCGCTCTGTCTTTTATCTATAAGTTCATTCATGGTTCTGCCTCATATTATGTCGCAGACACACCGAGGTTATTCTTGGTTAGAATAGATCAATCTTTTTCCTTACCTAACAAGGTGTCAAGGAAATGGATTTTTTTTTCACTAGGATAAATTTGAACAGTCATGTTTTACGGTCATCAGTATTTTACTTACAACATGCGAAACAAAGCTGGAATGATGTTTGGTATGAGAAAAACTAGACTGGGTGGTCGAGTTATTATTTCACCCATGGGCTTGATAACCGTCAACTTACTGCACTTGAATAGGGAGCATTCAAAGTTCAAATGATTAATAAAATCAGAAGTACTGACTTGCCTGGCTGATGGCATACACGGAGAAGGGAAGATGACATGTAACAAAAATATAACTGTGCTAACGTAATGAAAAATCAACAGGGAATCTTGGTTTGCATATATGCTGTATGGTGATCAGTAGCATTTCCAAACTTGGGGGATGATAATATTACATTTATAGTTTCGAGATATTTTTAAACCTAGTTACAGCAAAACGTTCTCAAAATTTTTAATACCATCACTGGTAACAGAAGAAAAAGTTAAGTTACCTACAATTCAAACTTAATATACTATTAATTGTTTCGTATTCTTCTGGTCATAAGTGAACCTAACTATTATGCACAAGCATAAGTGGTAATGAATGATACTGGTTAATACAAAGAATGTTAGCCTCAAAAATTCAAAGGACAAATATTCTTGGACATGCAGTAGGAGTGCAACGACTAAAATATGCAAAATGCTAAATATGAACAGAATTATGATCCAATAAGACAGCCTGATGCAGTAAGTGCACGCAGTTGACTGTTAATAATGCAAAAGTCAAGTCAGCTGCAATTCAATTATGCAATGAAAATCAATTCTGATTCACTTTCTGTGACAGTCATTCGTTAATTTATCTTGGTACGGGGGATGCATAGTTTTTTTAACAATATCACAGATGTTCAAGTTATCGATGAACCATTTGTGTTGCCTGAAAGAATGAGTACTTTCTGAAATATACTGTAGGAAATCCACAGTAGCTTTCATAGCAGCCGGTACTTCTGCACTTCATTTCACTCACTTAAATCAACGAATCTAATTAGCAACGACTGTCTATTTTCGATAGCTTAATAATCTGAGTAAAGCGAAGAGGAATATTTCATATATTTGGTATTCTTGTTAAACTTAAGCAACAGATTTAATAGGCCCAAAATAAACTTATTTCATTTCAATGGTTACTTATTAGTCTTGTTCAATCTAAGTAAGGAATTAATATATAAGTAGGGAATATTTTATGAAATAATAATGTGATCTACATTTCTACTTTATTGTATTACGTGTGAGTATGAAAATGAATTCAACATGTATCAACTCTCTCGTTTTGAAAATTCATCTTTAGGCTTACCACAGAATTATTTTCCCGTTCAGGTACTTTTAACGAACTTCAGTCCGGCTTTTCACAAATTGCGCCTTAACTCTTGACAAGCTGTTAAAAATATTGATGTGGGAAGTAACCCGTTTGACATTATTGCATTGTGTCACTGGAATCATCTTATTTTGTGGACATGAGTTCATGTATATTTGTTATTTGTACATACCAAGCAAAGAATTATGTTGAGTGATGTAACTGAATTTGCCTTGAGGAATATACTGGAAGTCAGTGCTTTTAAATGGTTCAGAGACTTGGAGCGTTACGAAAGGCATTTCAAACAAACTATAGACATTCAGCTACAGCTGCTGACGTTCGATGCAGAGGATTAGATAGCCAGAACAAATAAGCAGCAGGAAACTCTGGTCTGGCAACAAACCAACCAAAAACCCATTGCCCAACAAATATGCAGAACAAAGTGAAGATGGATTGGATTGGACATACACTAAGAAGACCGGCTGGGGATATCACGCTGTAGGCAACCGAATGGAACCCAGATGGGAAGCTTCGACTTGGGCGTCCGACAGTGACATAGAGAATATGGTGTGAAGAAGAAATGAAAGGTTGTGGGTAGTCATGGAGCCAGGTTGAAAAGACTGCAGAGAAGAGAGTGAAATGGCGATGTGCTACTGAAGCCCTTTGTTCCATTAAGAACCTAAAGGATAAAAAATAATAATAATGCACTGCAATTCAAAACGTGTTATCTCTTATTTCACATGAATCGACTTTCTGGTATTTCTGAACTACTTAGAGTGAAAATCTTCGTCTACCCGACCATTCTTGACTTCTTTAGCAGATGATCAGAGTTAGCCCTAATAACAATTAAGATGTGATACAAGTTTTGTGGGCATGGTGGTAATATCCTATTAATTTAAGCATACTTTCCAACAAAAATGCAAATGAATTATGCTTATATAACAAGTGGTGTCTATTAATGCAAATGAACAGAAGACAATTTTACTTGAATGAAATTTCCTGGAACAGGTAGTGTTGCACTTTATGCATAAATGAAAATTGACAACATGTAGCTTTGATGTCAACTCCTTGGAGTTTATTGGTTACACCTTGAGATCAAAAACATAATACAGTATTTTGCTACATGAAAACTGTGCTCAACAAAATATTATGTGCACTCAGATGATGTTAGGTTTAGCTTGCACTACATTGAGGACCAGCCATAATAAGTTGATAGATTCTATCGGACTCGATGTCATTTATTAAATGGTAATCCACCTGCTGTGAGAATTGTACATCCCATTTTAAATATTGGGTACTTATGGAGTGTGCAATTCACGCAATAAATAACTCATTTTCTTGATAAACAGCCTTACTTTTA